CACACACACACACACACACACCCACACACACAACCACACACACACACACACACACACACACACACACACACACACACACTTTCTCTTCCTTCCTTTTCCCACCAAGTCGGATGGGGTCCTTGCAAGGCCATCAGTACAGATACAACCGGCCCTTTGATGGGGACCAAAGTGCTGATGCGGCCCCCGATGAATTTGAGTTTGACACCCCTGGTATATACATAGTCACCCTAGCTGACTTTAAAATTGATACAGTGTCCATGTTATATTCTTGGTTCTCTTTAATTCAAATCTAGTTTTCTCCTTAAATCAATTCGTTTGGAATCAGCCAAGACACTGAAGGGGTCCAGTTAATACATATAAAATATATCTTGGCCTAACAGTAGCTATTTTGCTTTCTGTAACTTTCAATTTACCATTAAGGTATTTCTAAATGAGAAGTTTGTCCTTGGGAAGGAGAGTATCTGACACAGAGAAGTGAATTACAGCCCACATGCATGAATGTGTACCAATTATAGAAACCCTTCTCTTTTCTCCACTTCTTCCCAACCCCCTTGGCCCCTCTTTCATGTGATGCCTTATAAAAATGTATGCTTTTGTATCAGGGGGTGTGCTTCTTCTCTGCATGTTTTCTGCGTGTGAAGTTTGCGCCTATTTTCAGCTGAAAATAAATATTTATTGGATCTCTCTGACTCTGGCTGATTGATTAGTGTGTTAGAGACAGGCAAAAACCCAAGAATTAGTCACGGGCCCTTCATTTATTCATCTTGGGACGCTTCAACACAATGGCATATTTTTTCTGGATGTGTTCATTTTCTTGTAAGGGGCTGTGTACGACAGAGCAGCTTCATTGTACCTAGGCTGGTACAACGGCAACAGGGGGGTGAAACTGTCTTGAATGTTCTCCTCCAGAGCACCTAAGCCAGAATGCTGGCCACCTACTTTGGAACCCAAAGAAGGAAGTATCGCCTGCCAGGTGTTGTGAGACTAGGTGACAGGACTAATGGGTTCTGTAGTTAGTTGAACAAATCCAGGATGGCTCTTTGCCCACCTCTTGACAAAACAATGAATGGAGCTTATTACAAGAGCCTTGCTCTCTTGAGCTGGAGTGAAAAGAACTGAATCTAGCAACTCCATCATTGGGTTTTCTCCAATACCTCTCCCTAAGATCAACCCCCCATGCCACTTGCACCTTTCAGGCTTCGATGATGTGGATGGCCACCCTGGGAAAGGCCAGGGAGTCTTCCATGAGGAGCTGGGCCTTCTCCATGCTGGCCACCGGCTTGTGGAACTCGCTTCCTACAGAGATGCATCACAATCCTTCCCTGCTAATAGAACGTACCGTATTTTTCTGTGTATAAGACGCTCCCATGTATAAGACGTCCCCCACATTTCTAATCTAAAATTAAGAAATCTAAGTGGGGCTTAGCAAGTGTAGGGGGGAAAGGATCAAAGCGCTGCAGGATCGCTTTGATCCCTGCTTTCCCCTCCACTTGTTTTTGTTCTCTCTTCAGCTTCCTTCAGTGTATGAGACGACGCTCAATTTTTAGTCTAAATATTTTAAATGAAAGTATAGTCTTATACATGGAAAATATGGTACATAAAACATTACCTTTTGGGGGAGACATTTCAAGATATCCCTCTCTTTATAATTGTTTATAAACAACTATAAAGAGAGTGCATGGGTTAAACTGTAACACTGCAGTCAAAACTCTGCTCACGGTCAGTGTTTGATCCCAGTGGATTCTGACAGCCAGCCTGAGGTGCACTCAGCTTTCCAGCCTTCTGAGGTTGGTTAATTTAAGTACCCAGCACACTTTGGGGAGGAGAGGGCAATGTATAGCTTGCATAATTAAACTGTAAACTGCCCAGAGGGTGTTTTAAGCCCTATGGGGCAGAATATAAGGAGGTGCCAACAAAGAAGGAATTTATTGAGAAGATTTTGGAACTAGCAGAAATGGATATTTTGACAGATATACTAAATGACAGGCTGGATAAAAATAAATGGGAACCTCTTTATACCCGGATAGAAGTCTACACCAATTTAAGTAGGTTAGATTAATATTATGTTAGAGAGGATAAGACAAGATGAAATGCATGGAATATACTGTAATAAATCACTCTAGTTGCAACGGATAGAAAAGTAGAAAAAATGTAATTAAAATTATTTTTTAAAAAACAAAACTGTAAACTGCCCAGAGAATGCTTTAAGCACTATGGAGCAGAATATAAGCCTGCTTTCCATGCTCTTCCATCATGCTAGCTCAGAAATATCTCATGCTTGAATATACAAACCGGGCTACTATAACCACATTGGAGTATATGTACACCAGAAAAACAAACATGTAAGACTGTGAGTTTGCGTGTGACCTCATAAATGTTAAACTTGCCTTTAAAGATAGCAAACAAAACTCTGACAGCTTCATCTGAAGCCATTTACTTGGGCTCCTATCCAAATAGTGACATTTACTTCCTGGTGAGAAAATGTAAAAGAGAAAGTCAATCAGCCACAGGACATGCTTAAAAACACATTTAATAGTTTATTCCAGAGTCTTCCATTTGCTGTTACTGACAAACACACACTGCAAGAATCCAACTGCCTAGATGTGTTTTAGGGCAGCAAATGTCTCCCTCCCATTGGCATGTCTTGTCTTGCATTTTTTTTAAGCAACCAGTTATCACATTCCCTCAAGGCAGCTGAAACACCACCCCCAAAAGCTCAGAAGTGGCACATATTAACTGCTCCCCCTGCCTTTTCAGCCTAAATATCCTTTCCACAAATATATCGGCCCGAGAAGCCAATGCACAGTGGATAAGGATCGCCGCCTGTGGAAGATGACAGTGTGGACAGAGACACCGTCAGCCCTCCACTGACACAGAAGCAGCTCAGGCATTCAGTATTCAGAAGAATGATATCCTCCGGCCACTAGCCTCAAATTAAAAAGGCTAGAATATGTGAGGGATGGGGGGTTGTTGGGTTTTTTTTGTCTATTTGCCTTTTAATAACATAAAGAAGCCATTAATTCTTGGAGGTTAATGCCTTCTATTTGAATGGGTTTCTACCGGTCCTCTGTACAAACCCTCTTCCAAAACACCTCATGTCCTAGGTCTCAAACTGTGAGTTCCACACAGTGAGGTAATGAGATGTGCCCAGTGTTGCATTTAAAAAATGGGCAACTCTTTTAAGTCTAAGCATCCCCCCACCCCCAAAGGACCTTCCTTGCTTGCCTTCCAGACTGCTTTAAATCCTGCAAGCATTTTGCAAAGCGAAGGCGGCCCTGGGAGCCTTCCTACACGTTTTACCCAACACTCAATCCCAGGCAGTGTTTTTTCTCACCTGTTCTCCCACCTGGCAGGAAAAGAGCCCACGACCCATGTACAGCCTGAATCATGACTCAGCCCAGGAAATGCCTTCCTGGCTATCTGCACTGCCATTCTGAGAGCTACACTTGCTTGGCTGGCTAACTTGTCCTTTGGTTCTTCGATTTCTTTCATTCTCAGAAACCTGCCTCGTCTGCCTCTCTTGCTCTACAAACACTTTTGTTCCACTGCAGATCGCCAGAGAAAGCACAGTGCTCGAATACAGTAGGTGGAAAGATGGTAGCTTTCAACGATTCTCCTGGAACAGAGGAATTTCATCACCTTTGTGTAGTGTTCTCCCTTCAGCTTGGTCTCTCTATGCTTCTCTCCCTCCTGTTTCCATCCTCACTGTTCTCCCATGAGCTGATCCGTCTCCTTCCTCTTTTCCCAGTGCCCTCTTCTTCTCATCAGAGGGATGGCTGTGTGAGCCCAAAGCACACCCCAGAAAGCAGGCTAAAAGTCTGTTTCTCATTTCTGCTCAGAGTCATCTACTGTAGTTACCTCAATGGTAGTATGTTCTTCTGTTGCCGTCGTACCCTCAACAACAGTGGAGGGTACAGTCATGATTGTACTCCCACCGGGAGACACTTGTGTGACATTCTGGATAGCTGTGCCCAGTCCTGGGAGAGTAAGCAGCTGGAAAGGGCTCACCACTTTGACCACGGTGCCGCCATCCTGGATGGCTGCTGTGCTCAGGACTGTGAGGTTGGAGGCATCTGGGTGTATTTCGACGGCGTTGGGGAAAGCAGAACCTGCTGAGGCCAGGACTGTGTATCCACCCAGCAGTGGGGAGGCTGGAGAGCTTGTGGAAGTCACTTGGGTCGCTGTTTTCCCCAGAGCAGACAGTGGGAGGGCAGAGACCACTTTGCCTATAGGCAGGTTGGCCAGCTGAGTGACCGGCATCCCGGGAGCCAAGGTGATCTGCGCGGGCTGAGTCAAGATCTGTGAGGGGATGGCTGGAGGTCCAGAGGTGGCTCTCGTGAGCCTGGGGCGTTTCAAAGGGGAGGGGAGGGAGACCGGCGTCAAGGTCATTAGCACGTTGTTGAGGTGCTGTGATTTGTGTTTCAGCTCCTTTGCTCTTTTCCGATGCTCATCGCACTGCTGCTCCAGAGCTGGAGATAAAAAAGGAAGGAAGGAAGATCGTAACAGTGGCTAAGCAGGGTGTTCAGTGACGCTAATCAGCTAAGAACTGGAGTTTGGTATCCTCCTCTTAAACTGCCTCTCATCATCTGTGGCGCTAAAGCTATTCTGAAACAGGGAGTACCAAGGGGCCTTACTGTGAAAAATCTCTTAAGGAGAACAGGGTACTGCCGCAATAGCTATAAAGGGAAACAGCCCTTCTGCCTGGTGCAACCCCTTTTAGAACACAGAAGCTGAAGGGTTTTCACCTCCAGCTAGGATAGAATTAAATGTATTACTTGAAAATCAGCATCCACACCTTTGCAGAGAGCCCTCAAGGACAAGCTATGCTCTTCTCAGATTGTGCACCTTCTGCCATAGAAGGCAGAAGTGGAGAGGCTATGTAGGTTGCTCTTCCCTACTTGTGGTATGTTGTCTGCTTTAATAACGGCCAAATATGGCTTAATTCTTTCCTTGTTGTGGTATTATTTAATGCGTTCCTATGGGCAAAAAACTCACAGTTATGCAAAAATCCTCCATACGGCCGCCATTTTCGCTGCCCGGTCAGCGAGGAAAGGGCGTGAAAACACTGCGGGCGGCCATTTTTTTAAACCCGGTGGCCATTTTGGAACCACCGATCAGCTGTTAGAAAAAACATCGCTATGCGGAAATCGGTAAGCGAAACAGTTTAGCGATCGTCGCAAAGCGATGTTTTACTATTTAAAACATCGCAATGCGATTGCAAAAAAGCCACTGTTTTGCGGATTCGTCGTTAAACAGTGCGCCTGTTATGCGGGGCACCACTGTAATCATTATCACAAGAAGTCAGTGAGGCATGTTGGACTGAGAGAAAGCAAACTTTTCAAGCATGACTCTGTGAAAGCTTAAAAGACAAACAAGGATCGAGACCTGGGTCTCCCTGGCTTGTGTAACACTGTGTTCACACCCCATGTTGACTCACACTATTCTTTGGGGGAAAAGTCCTGAAAGTCTTGCTGCTAAGGAGCTTAGCAGTGTAGAGTGTGCTCTGTGCGTGTGTGTGTGCACACCAATGTGTAGCCTTGCATAATGAAACGGTAACCACCCCGAGTGTGTTTTAAGTGCTATGAGGCAATATATAAGCAGCACACTTTGCTTATCGTGCTGCATACTGGAATAGGGGAATGGATAAGGAAATGCAAGGCAGGCTGGCTTGCTGTGGGAAGAAATAAATGAGTCCCTATTTCTGTTACTAAAATAGATGATGCGTACTGTAGCACAGAGGTCCCCAACCTTTTCTGGGACCACAGACCAGTTTGGGGAGGTGCGGGCTCCATGCACGGGGTTCCCCCATGCTAGCGGGTGGGGCATGTTGGGCCCCTCCGCAAGCGCAACACGCTCACCGTGCGTGTGTGCAGGGGTGGCGGAGATCAGTCTCTGCGGCCCAGTTCCAGGGAGCCCATGGACAGGCAATGGGCCGCGGACCGAGGGTTAGGGACCCTTGGTTTAGCAGACCATAGGAACACCGCCCAGTCCACTAACTGCAAACTGATCCATTCAATGGAGTTGAAAATGACAAGTCTAAGGGTAAGGTCTGGAGAAGCGTCTTGGAAAGGAGCTGGATTCAAGTCTGAAGGCACAGCCTGAGAAATCTCCAGCCACGTTTGTTCTTTGGGAAAAAAAAAGCTTTTCAGATCAAATCCTGGTACAAGACCTGCAGGAAAAATTGAGGCCAGAGGGACTCTTTCTTCTCTGCTGTGTATAAGGCTGCATATTCATACCTGCTAAATCTCGTGTATACTGCTCTCTGGAACGATCCATCTGGCACTTGTGACTGGCTAAAACCTTCTTCACCAGGTCTAGCATGCCAAAGTTCTGGACTGTATTGTTGAGCAAGACAGCATCTTAAAAAAAATAAGGTGGGAACAAAAATCTCAATTGCTGACATTCAAAGAAAGAAGAGTGATTAATTTGTGCTTTTTGTTTATTATCATTTCTATTTCATTACTGGTGGTATAGGGTGGTACAAGGCTACAAAGATAAAATTTTAACTTTTAATTGGATGAACTCCTACCTAATTCCTGATCTCAAGCTGAAATAAAGACCAAATAAAATGTAACTGCATTTGGAATAGAAGTATCTTTGGGAAATAAACTTGCTTTGTTTCCTCTTTTATTGATTGTTAGAAATACTATGCCACAAAGACAACAAAATGTGTAACTTATCATTCATTCTTAATTTTTCCTTCCAGAGCCAGCAGAAAAGAGAAGTCAGCAGTGTTAATACAAGAAAAATGGCCACCTTAGCTTTCTGTAGCTTTCATCCAGGCCACTCCAAGAGAGGTCCAGAAGGCATCAACCAGAAAACGGACCTTTTCGGTCATGGCTACTCCACTCTGGAACTCTATTCCTGTGGAGGTGCGACTGGCCCCCACCCTCCTGAGCTTCCGCAAGCACATCAAAACCTGGCTTTTTACCCAGGCCTTCCCAAGCAACCCCCTTTTGTAACATTATGCTGGCCTCTTGTCCGCCATCCTATGTTCCAGACTGGTGATTTTATTGGGGTGGGTTTTAGAGTTCTGTTTGTTTTCTTTTAATATGTTTTATATGGTTTTAATATTTTAGCTGTATACTGTATTTTATAATATTTTGTAAGCTGCCCAAAGTAGCGGCATGCTCACTAAATGGGCTGGATATAAAGCTAAATAATTTTTTTACAAACTCACACAAGCTGTTTCTCTATGATGCCTCTCCAAACAGAAGCCTTCCTGTCCAGTAACTCCAAGCCATTAAAATTTGTATTCTGAATGCAAAATATGTTTTACTCAAATCTGCATCATCATGGATTCTGAATCTCTCTTATGAAAGAGCCTGAAACAGTCTTGGCAGATTACAAGATGTCAAAGAGAAAGGAAAACAGAGGAAAGGGCAAAATATAGTTACGATAGGAAGAGGACAAGATGTTATACAGGCAACAAAGTAGAACCTCATGATTATCAGACATCATATTCAGGATGTCCTCTGATTTCTGAACTTTGGCGACTATGGTTCTAGATTTTCTTTGGAATCGTTAGGAGCCAAGATTTGCTGAATTTAATTACAGTGGTGCCTTGCAAGATGATTACTTCACGGGACGATTCATCCGCAAGACGAATAGTTTTTGCGATCACTGTTGCGCTTCGCAAGACAATGTTTTCCTATGGATGATTTTCGCAAGACGATGTTTTTTCCCCATTGGAACACATTAAATAGATTTCAATGCATTCCAATGGGGAACCATGTTTCGCAAGACAATGTTTTCACAAGACAGCAATTTTCGCGGAATTAACATTGTGTGGCGAGGCACCACTGTATTAAATATTTAAGGAACAGATTCATATCTTGCACAAGCAACGAATTACATACACAAAGAATCCAAAAAGCATAAGCATTATTGTTTGGGCGTATTTGAAAAAAATCCTTTCTTCAGCTTCTTAATACTCAATAAAAAGGTAGAAATTGTGACCTAAATGTCCCAACATTACCTACAACATCTACACCAACAGTCTTTTCTGTTCCTAGAAGTTATGGTAGCCATTTGAATGACCTCTAACAACTGTTAAGAACTTTTGAAAAAACAGTACTGTTTGCCAGAAAGATCGGTGCAGTTGACACTTCTTACCACTCAGCTGTAAAGGGGGATCCTGAATTCTCTGCTGCAGGCCCTTCATCGTCTCCAGGAGCTCCGCTTGGAACTCCTGGATCACTTCTTCCAACAAGCCAGCTTCCTTCAGACCTCGCCAAAACGCGAATGTATCCTCTGGAGGAAAGGAGAAAATGCTTAAAAAATCTGCAAGGAAAGGAAGGTGACCTGGTATGCCTACGTTTGTACTCCGGCTTGGAAACGTCTCTTTGGACTACAAGTCCCAGAATTCCCCAGCCAGCAGGGGTGGGTGGCTGGAGGATTCTGGGAACTGGTAGTCCAAAAAAGTAATGCTTCCGAACTCTACTGCGGGCACACTCACATGCAAGGTACTTGTACTCCACACATATTTTACAAATGGCACTCTTATATTTTTACCATATATTTATGTGGCATAACTTGTTCCAGAATAACAACACTTCTGACTCAAATGCTATTCCCACTTCTAAAGCCTTACAAAACAGCAAACAGAGGGAACGTTCTGCTAGAATCACAGAGTTGGGAGGGGAGGCTATAAGGCCATTAATGCCAAACCACCACCACCCCGCTCAAGGCAGGAATCCAAATCAAAGCAGATCTAACAGAGGGCTGTCCCATTTTCTCTTGAATGCCTCCAGTGTTGGACCGCTCACCAACTCCCCATGAGGTCATGGGTTCCATTGTTGTACTGCTCTAACAGTTAGGAAGTTTTTCCTGATATTCAACCGAAATCCGGCTTCCTGTAACTTGAGCCCATGGTTGCATGTCCACTCTGGGAATGATTGAGAACAGATCCTGCTCCTCTTCTGTAGGGCAGCCTTTCAAGTATTTGAAAAGTGCTATCATATTTCACTTCAGTCTCTTTTAATTTTATTTTAAGGCTAAACAGGCCCAGCTCCTTCAGTCTTCCCTCACAGTGCTTGGTCTTCGCTTGGAATCCTTCTCCTTGACTTCTAAACACATTTTTATAGATACCGTGGAGACATTCAATCAAGCAACTGCCCACCCAAAAGTCTGAAATTGTATATTCCAGAACAATTTTAACATATCATCTATTTCCAAAATGGCTGACAGGAAGATGTGCCTAAAATATATAAGAGGGAGGGAATACTGGAAGTATAGTAGTGGAGGAGTTCTGGATGCACGTTCCTCCAACCACCAGCTGCCACACTCACAACCCAGTGAGTGCCACCCAGGTCCTCTTGTCGGCCAGCTCAGGCTTCCCTTCCCCGCCTCCTCCAGCAGCTGACCACTCAACAGCTGCACAGCAAGAATCCCCACCCTGCTGCCTTGTCTGAGTGGCTGGATGCTGGAGAAGGCGGAGAAGGGAAGCCTGAGCATCTGCCTGGACTGGACAAGGAGGACCCAGGCGGGACATGTTGGATTGTGATTTGGGCAGCTGGCAAGGGGTGGGGGGAAGGAACACACAGCACCTGTGGTATCACTAGTACAAATGCTGGTGACGCGCATTGAGCCCATGTCCAATCTGAAACTGTTTCACACAGTCGGGCCATTGCACCGTCTTGTTCAGTACTGCCTCCTTGACTTGTAACAGGTTTCCAGGCTGGCAGGTCTCCTCCATAACTATCTGGGTATGTTAGGAAGGGCACCGGGATCCTACGCCAGTAAAGCAGGGGTTCTACCACTGAGTTCTGCCCCCATGTACACAGATTACAGTAACAATCAGCTCATACACATGCAATAGTTTTGATTACAAGACTTCCAGGTTTAGGTAGCCATCACGGAACAGAACTGGAAACACAGACAAGTCCACAAGCGCCGTTTCTATTCATCACCTCCAATAGTCATAGTCCAGTCGCTGGAGTCTTCACATGTTTCTATGGTAATTGTGGCAGGAGAACCATTTACTGTGATTAAAACCAAACCAAAAATTACCATTGTAGGAAGATTTTTTAACAACAAAAAGAACATGGTATGACCTTGTAAGATGTATCAGTTCTTTTACTGTAAACTCTTCTTATCTTACTATTCTCACTTTTCTGCTCTATTATTTGCCAGCTGAAAGCCAGGAATTCCCCTATTCCCGTGGCATTTCTAAAATTAGAACTGATTTCAAATAAGAGTTTCAAAATCTTGGCTGTTTGCTTGTAAGGTCTTGTTTACATGATCACTGTCTTTAGAATAAGAAACCGCAACGTACGATAAAGCTACTTCATTTTACTCTCATAGCAACCTCAAAAGTCAGGTAAGTGTGAGAGATCACACCTAGCATCAGGGCTTCCAGTAAGGGTGTGACAAGACAGCAAGAAACGATTGCATCTCATCACACTGGAAAGGGTCATGTTGTCGGGAGACATCTCCCTTAAAGCAACCCTTCCGTCCGTTGGGGAATCGCCCCAGCTTAGCACCAATAAGCAGAAGCCGTACTGGTGGACAAAAAAGGTCTAGCTTGGGCACGGATCAGGGTCAGGCTGAAGAACTAAGTAATTTACACACACAACACCCATTTAGTGAGCATGCCACTACTCTGGGCAACTTAGAAAATATTATAAAACATAACAGCTAAAAATATTACAATCATATAAATCATATTAAAAGAAAACAAACAGAACCCACCCACCCACCCCAATAAAATCACCAGTTTGGAACATAGGATGGCAGACAAGAGGGCAGCATAATGTTACAAAAGGGGGTTGCCTGGGAAGGCCTGGTTAAAAACCCACGTTTTAATTTGCTTGTGGAAGCTCAAGAGGGTGGGGGCCAGTCACACCTCCACAGGAAGAGAGTTCCAGAGCAGAGTGGCCACGACCGAAAAGGTCTGGTTTCTGGTTGATGCTTTCCGGGCCTTTTATGGAATGGCCACCAGCAACATTAAAGACTGGGAGGTGCGGGTGGGATGGAAAGATGACCTGAGGGAGAGGGGCTCTGACAGGTAGCAAGGTTCTAAACCGTAAAGGGCTTTATAAGTTAGCATCAATCCCTTGAATTTGGCCTGGAAGCACACTGGCAGCCAGTGCAAGTGAGCCAGGACAGGTAACATATGGTCAAATTTAGATGTATCAGTGACCAGCCTGGCCGCTGCATTTAGCACTCGCTGCAGCTTCTGAACCACCTTCAAGGGCAGCCCTATGTAGAGAGCATTGCAACACTCAATCCTTGAGTTTACCAACGCTTGAACCAGTGTTATTAGGGATCTCCTGTTGAGAAGGGGATGGAGGTATGCAATCTGCCTCAGATGGGAAAAGGCAGATTTGGCCACACCCAGGATCTGTTTCTCCATTGGGTTCAGAAGCACACCCAAATTTCACACCTGATCCTTCAGGGGGAGTATGACCCCATCAAAATCAGGTGACAGGCCCCTAACCGATCAGGTAAAAGGTAAAGGTAAAAGTTCCCCTTGACAATTTGTCCAGCCGTGTTCGACTCTAGGGGCGGTGCTCATGTTTCCAACCCACAGAGCTAACGTTGGTCCGCAGACAATCTTCCGTGGTCACGTGGTCAGCATGCCTAGACACGGAACGCCATTACCTTCCTACCGTGGTGGTACCTATTTATCTACTTGCATTTTGCATGCTTTCGAACCACTAGGTTAGCGGGAGCTGGGACAAGCGACAGGAGCTCACTCCGTTGCGTGGATTCATTCTTATGACTGCAGGTCTTCTGACCCTGCAGCAGACGCTTCTGCGGTTTAACCCGCAGCGCCACCACGTCCCTAACCATCTTGTCAGGATTAAGTTTCAGCCTATTTGCCCTCACCCAGTCCATGACTGTGGCCAGGGAACGTTCTAGGGTCTGTACAGCTTCCCCTGCTGAAATGGAAAAGGAGATAGAATTGTGTATCATCAGCCTACTGATGACAGCGAACTCTGAATTTCCGAATGATCTCTCCCAGCGTCCTCATGTAGATGTTAAACAACAAGGGGGAGATGACTGACTCATACCACATTATAATGTCCACGGAAATGAAACAGCCTCCCCAAGCATCGGACATCAAGGAAGGAACGGAACCAACCGAATGCTAGACCTCCAATCACCAATCTTGACTATTTCCAGGGTCTAGGAGGACCAACAGGGTCACACTCACCCTGTCAGCTTCCCGCAATAGGTCATCTAGCAGGGCAACCAGAAGTGTCTCAGTCCCAGGATGCAGCCTGAACCCTGATTGGAAGGGATCCATCCAGACTATCCGTGTCCTCCAAGAAGGCTTGCAGCTGGCCAGCCACGAACCTCTCAATCAGTTTCCCCATGAACGGTATGTTAGCAACTGGACAATAGTTGTTTAAATTGTCGGTTCACAACTTTTTCCAGAATGGACCGGGTCATCGGTCTCCTTCAAAACAGGGGGCAAATATCCCTCTTGTAAGGAGTTCATATCTAAGTGGCCCATTCAACCGTCACCACCCTGCCCGATTTTAAGGGCCATATTTCCCATACTTTGCGTAACTACCAACAAACAGCTTGCAGTGGACCACATCACAAATGGTTCAAAATGTGAGCTATATGCCTGAGTGAGCACATCCTATGTTTTACAGATGCATGGCGACTACAGCTAAAATACTCTTCCTAGAAAAGGAAACTTAAGATTCATTATTCTTGAAGTGAGTGGTGCAACTCAGCTTACATTCAAGAAGATGCATGTCTTTGCAGGGGGAAGAATACACAAAGGACGCCCTCAGGTTTCTTGGATTGTCCTTTACACGCTCAGACTTGCACTGACCTTAGACTGCAACCTTAGAGCGTTATTCTTATGGTTGCAGAAGTAATTTCTTCCCCTCTCACACTTTTCTCTTGTCGTTCCAAGGAAAAGGCATATTCCCTTTGTTCTCTAGAGATGAAAGGGATAATCATGGCTCCTGAGGTCTCCAGGTCAGTTAGCTGGAACTAGGACTTCAATCATCATTTCTTTCATAAATATCTCCCTGTATTAAATGCAAGCTTTCTTAATTTGTTTAGAAAGAAGTGTGGGCATGATTCCTTTTACCCAGGAGAAGTGAGCTCATATAATCATTCTAAGTTTCAAAGGGCTAAATCTACAAGTTAATGTTGCCCCTGTACTGCTGTGTGCTCACTCACCAGTGATTATCATTCTGCATGTCAGTCAAGTAACTTCTCTAAATCTTGGTGGCAACATCTATTTCTGTAACCTGAAAGCCAAAAAACTGGAAATCTCCCTTCTTTTTATTTGTTAAAAATGAAGGAGCAGTCTTAAAATGAAAGTCTTTAAACTATTTAGCCAGTAATAAACTGTTTGTGTTGAAAGACAGCCCTATTAAAGGGCAGAGGAAACATGGGGGCTCTTCCATGGAGGGGTGAGCAGATATGAGCTGGCAACTGACCAGGATAAAGAGAAAAAGCTGACAGAAGGGCAAAAGTCAGCAGTAATTAAAATTCAAGGGGAAAACAAGGATTACTAAAATACTTTATGTTCATTTTTATACACAATCTGAGTTCAAGGGTAAACTACACTTGAGAACGTAGGGTTAGGGCTAAGATTAAATCGGGCAATATGAGAAAAGCCAAAAGCTAAAAATGTTAAAAGTACTATAAGCATAATTGTCAAATTTGGTCCTTGCGGAGAAATCTAGGTCATATTCTAGTCCAGAGGCTCCTGGAGACAGCATCTCACATGCTTTATGCAAGCTGGGAGAAATTATAGTTGATAAATCTCCCAGAACATGTGGCTACATATCTGTTGCATTCACAAGACAGGGTGCTGGAATGTATTCCACTTGGTTGCAGAAGTGTGTTGTTAAATTCCTCAAAGGTTCAAAAGAAGACTTGACAAATATTCTACACTTTACACACCCAGACAACTGGGACCTAATGATGCTATTTTTTTGTTCAGTACTCAGATTCCAGGTGAGCACCCTATTTCATCTTGAAAAGGAAGTGTGAATATAGCTGCCTTATATGGTGTCAGACAAGACATCCGTCTAGCCCTATTACTACCTCCAATTTAACCAGCTTCCCAAGATCCTACACAGAAGTCTTTCCTAAGGATCCTACCCATGATGGGGATGGATAACATACCTTCAAAGCATGTGTCTTACTACACCACAGACCCTTCTCAAAGTTGGAGAGCACTAATGTATAAAAATATGATGCTACTTTTTTATACCACATGAGACAGTTAGCTTGTGTAGCCTAACACGATATATGTTCATTAGTATCATGAACTAATGTATCGTGTATCCTGACACAAACTTTCCAGAAAGAGGGAGGATGAATCAAGAGATGAAGTGTACGCTCCCTACCCCTTGATCCCCCCCCCAAAAAAGGAGACATAATAAAAAACCATCCTCACAACCAACCACTATAGTAACAGCTGGGGAAAACTGGTGTTAATTCCTGAAAGGTGCGCAACCCAGTCACATACCATCTGCAGAGGCAGGGGTGAGAGGAATGTACTCCGTCGAAGTCTGGCTACTCAGAGACACTCTGGCTCCAGTCAGGTCAATTTTAGTACTTCGGCAAGTGTTGGAACACACTTTGGTGTGCTCATAGAAATCCAGCTTGCCTGAATCCATTATCTTCCTATAACAGAGGGAGTAAATGTGAATGTCCACTTGCATCAGTTTAAAACCACAACCGTGTTGTACATTTACACTTTCGTCTACCATATTTATTCCAATGAAGCTTGAAAATGTTCTTGATGGTGATCTTAATCAGTATAAGTACCAGATAACAAGGTAAAGGGACTGGTCGGTCCTGACTCCTTTAAAGCATGGGGTGCAATGTACATGCCCTGAGGTCTGCTCCAAATCTCAGTCTGTACCTGCGCCATCTACACATAGACAGAGGCTAACCTTAGCATGATTCCATTCATCCGGATTGCCCTCTTCCAGTCCTTTAAGGTGGACTTGCCAGCCAAATGGACAAATTCCTTGGGACTTATCAAATGGTTATCATACTGCAAAGAAGAGAGAAAGTGGCATGAAGGAACAAGACCATCACACTGTCAGCTAGTGCTAGAGCAGAACCATCATTCTAAGTCTGGTAGTACAAAAATCAGATAGCTACTCCCAAGTCTTGCTGCCTGGCACCTCTGCTGTGTCCCCACAGAAGACATCACATCTCGGGGAACAGAGTACGGCTGGATACCACCAATATTACTTACATTACAGAAACTGAGACTTGCAGGGAGTGAGGAAGAGAAATTCCTAATCATCTCTTCCACCTTGAACTCCTTCAACTTCATCACCTCTAAAACAAACATGGAACTGGGAAGGACTGGAAGCAGCCTTGAATCCACTCCTGGATTTGTGGCATCTCTGACTGGTGATGAAGCTCAGAAGGAACAGAGGCAACTGCCCATTTTGTTGCCATCCTTACCCAGTTCATGGTCCTGAGGAGGACCTGACAAGAAAGCAGAGGGGAAAAAGAAGCAGTTGTCTCTGTTCCCATTCCTCATCAACCCAAAGCAATGTCATTAGGGGAAGGATGAAGAATTGTTTTAAACAAGATCAAGGCAACTTCTAACCAGTTTCCTTCCACTTTAAGAGCTGGATAAAGAGACAATAACAATACTCCAGCGGACAAGAACATCAAACTGAACGAAGAGTTGCATAAGTTCAACACACTGTGTTCATTTTCAGTTGCCCATCCATATGATGGGAACAAGAACAGATAGGTATGATCAGGAAGAAAAAAAAGACAACCAAGCAGAGCCAAAGATTTAAAAACTTTACAAAAAAATTGTAATTTTCTCTCATATTTCTTTCTTTCTTTCTAATGTTCTGATTTTTAATCTGCGATTAATGTTCTCTAATCTGTGATATACAGCAGGCTATATAGGTTAATTATTCCACTGAGTTCATTAAACATTCCTTTTAATATCCCCCAACATGACGTATTCCCCCCTCCCCCTAATTTTCTTCTCTCTTGTGTTGCCTTTTTAAAGTGCAGACTATAACTCAGCAGGTCGAGGCTTATGAATTATTTATTTAGGAATTACACGACTTCATAAATAATACACATATCATGAAAGAATGGGCATCTTACATAAACCAGTTCTTTAGTCTGTGAGTTTTACATGCTTCTATTACTGAAGGGTAGAGAGTGGTACTTATCGTGTTTTGGTGGTTTGGCGCGGTTTGGCAGATTGAACCCCCAAGTGTTGTGTGGGCACCCCAGATTCTGCGCCCTGCCTCCTCTTGCAGCCACCCATGCAGAGGAGGAGGTGGGGCAGGGAAGCCCCCGGCCTTGCTTCTCATGGGGTGACCACAGGAAGAGGGTGTAGAATACAGGGTACCCACATGACATCGAAGGGCCCAATTTGCTGAACTGCGCTGCCGTGACAAACTATGGTGAGTTCCCATCTCTAGTTATAGGGATAACCTTTTTTGAGAAAAAAAAGCAAAGCGACAAAAAACAATGTCTCCTGGGTAGTGGTGATGTACAGGTAGGCACCTGCAGGGGAGGCCCTCCTCCATGTCGCAGACTTGAGAACTGCTCATTATGTGGAGGCATGAAAGAAGCATTTCTCAGCTGGAACATCCTGACTGTAGAATACCCCCCCCCCCGGAGGTCCAACTGATGCTGACATAGGCATCGCTTCAGCATCAAGTCCAAACATACTTATTTATCAGAGCCTTTGGGGTCTGAAACTCTTTGGCCTGTGCTTTAATGCAATGGTTTTAAAGTTTCTGTTTAAATCATTTTAAATTCTTATGTTCCTAAATCGTTTCATCGGGCTTTGTAACCCGCCTTGATCTTGTGATATACAGCAGGCTATAAATGTTTTAGATAAATAAGTAAAACCTTAAATCATACTCATAAGAGAGGCACAGAGGTCTTTTTGAGCAGACGCCCTGCACCTGATGCTCAGTAAAAATTATAGCTAACTTCTTTTGCGATTGGTAACAGTTAGGTATATGTTGAATGTTGAATCTTTCACAAAATTCCATGACAGTGGGTGCTTTGAAATAAATAGCAATATATACATAAGGCTTTATTTCTTATGCCACCATCTCACCTGGACACATTTCACATTGATGCCAGGGCAAACAAACTTCCGCCATATCAGGTTGGCTTTGCTATCTCCACACGTGATAGGATACACTATCTCTGCTTCCATGCAGTCCTCTCCTTCAGCCATCTTCACTTCAAACAGAGGAATCAGAACAGACTTTTTAAAAAAAGGTTACACTCACAGGCTACTGATTGTGAGCAGAAGACATTTTGTAAAATAGCTTTTAAAAAAATCCTTCCCTTCAATAATATATATATATAGACAAGCTTGAAATGTGGTAATACTGAACATCTAGCTAATTAACTGCTTCTGTTAATCAGAATCTTTTTTGTCATCATATACTGCAACGTTACACAGGCCCAACTTGGCTCTGTCCTTTCGCACAGACGACAAGGACTGTGTAAGTCCTTTGTGTAATCTGTTCACAGAAGTGCCTCATGAATAGCTCTTCCACCACGGCACTTTTACAGCTACCACTTGCATAACATCAAACTACACAAGTGTAGCTCTACTCAGCAAGACTAGAGTCATTAATACCATTATTCACAAAAAACATTATCATAAGCAAAAAGAACACGTATATATGCTGGGAAATATACTGTCTACATTTCACCACATAGGGGAGGCATCAAGTGGAAAAAGTGACAATACTCATGGCAAGAAGAAACTAGAAAGCATAATCACTTTCTAAGGAAGAGAGGTGCAAAGCACAAAGATCCCCAAATTAAAAGCACATATTGTTGCTGCTGTTTTTCCCCAAACAGCAACTGAGAAGCTGCAATTTTGAGCGGACTGTAATGTTTCCCTTATCTATTCTATAGTGCTGCATGCCTGGGAAAAGACTGGGAGTCAATATTGTGCTCTGGTGGTGGAGATAATAAAAATCATCAATCAGAACAATTAGTTTCTTTCTTTTTAATCTTTTCCTCCCACGTTGATGCACATTCTTCAACCACTAACTACCTTCCTCTTCCTTTTTCTAACATTTCTTTTTTTAAAAAAAGTGTATTCACACAAAGGAATTTTTGAACTACAGTACAGTCTTATTGTCTTGTCTTGAAAACATCGCTTGCATTTATAGCAAGAGACATCAACACATTAAAGCAGCATTTTAGCCATCAACAGCTTTGCTTAAACAACATTAAAGGAGCTGAAATAATGCTGTCTTGATCATATTCAGACATGGCAGAAGACACTTCACAAGATGAAGAATATTTAACGGAAGCTACCTAGATCTCTCTGAGGACGAATAGAGATAAAGAAGAAGCACTACTGCAATTAATACACAATCACAAAACCATGGAACAGTCCAACTATCCTCAAATGTAGTTATCTGCTCCACTCACCTCACGTGGATTATTTTGCATTCCACAGAATTTAGCAAACAAACATTACACCTACCCCCATCATCAGCAAATGCACATTCCAGAAGTTGGCAGAAAAGCTGTAAACTTTTCAGCAGGGTAGATTTAATTTAAATGACACATTTAAATCATGATTTATATTTTAAAAATTGAATTTTTATTTAAATAATGGTTTAAATAGTGACTTAAATCGGTTGCTTAAAAAAAAATCACTGATTTTTATCCACTCTGCTTTTCAGTGTGCATTGCATTTGACCTGAGATAATGCCATTTGCAGATGCAAAGGACTGTGTTAGCATTTTGTGCACCTACCTAAAAGTGCTTCTTTCAGATGCGTGGAGGCTGTAAAAGCAGCTGCAGCTGCAGCAGCTGCATTTTCTGTCTCCAGGGTGTCTTCATTTAGGTCACTACTAGTAACAAGATGAACAGTTAGACCGACCGAGCATGCCTTGCTTTATAATCCACATCACTTTGGAAAACTACCCCATCCATTCTGAACCATAATGCAAAGAAGTATGAAAAGTTACTCACTGAGAGAAACCACATTATATTCAACTAAGCATTATTAACAGGAACAGTACGTAGGTGCTATAGGGAAGGGGCATGGCTTTCTGCTATGAGCCAATCTCCAGAAACACTAGGAGAGGGCCTTCCTTTGGGTCTAATCCCAACCAGAGACTTTTGATGGTTGAGAGTTCTAAAATTTGAACACAAAGCTAATCCTGTCTCAGGTGTAATTACTGTATTATGCTTCATTTGTATGGCATCACCCTTGTTCAAAACATTTTAGGGAGAACAAGAGAGTAGATTCCTACCTGATAATCTCACCATCTAAAGCAGTGGTCCGCAACCTTTTCAACACTGCGGACCAGTTGGAGAAGGTGGGGCACCTCTGCTCATACACATAGGGCACTCGCACACATGCACAAAGGGGTGGGGGCGCTTGCATAGGCACACTTTTACGCATGCACAAAGGGGCTGTGCGGGGGGTGGAAATTGTGTGTGTGGTGGGTGGGAAGGGACGGTCTGGCTGTGAAGCAACAAGCCACCTCACCCAGGATCAGGAGAGCATACCGTCTGCCTCTCAAATAATGGCACAAGAGGTAGAAGTGATAGAAAAGGAATTAAGTAAACTAGAAATAAAATAAGAGGCTGAAGGGGGCGCAAAATCAGGCAGGAAAGGAAGAGGATAAGAAGGAGAGAGAAGGAGCAGAAGAGGCAGAAGCATGTTCGGAAAGAGAGGAGAAATGAGAGAAAAAGGAAGACCTAGTAAAGTTGATCCAGGAAGATCCTCGGACAGGAGTGGGTAGAGTTCAAGGTGCTTCATGAGTACGGCGAAAAGGAATGGAGGCAACAAATATATATAAAAC